AGAGAGAGAGAGAGAGAGAGAGAGAGAGAGAGAGAGAGAGAGAGAGAGAGAGAGAGAGAGAAAGTGAGAGAGAGTGAGAAAGAGTGCACAGCCTGAGGGAAAATGAGAGCGAGAGAAAGAGAGAGAGGATGAGAGAGAGAGTGTACTGAGGAGGAGGGAGTGCGCTTGTGTGTGAGAGTGAAAACAAGAGGGAAAGAGTGCGGCGCTACCTCCAGACCAGATCTGCGGTGAGAAGAACGCTCGGGAAAACACACGGGGGACGGTGCCTTTCCCGTGGTGGTGTTCAGATACATGTCACCCGAGCAAGTCTGTCCAGAGGAGAGCGGGAGGTCTAGGGAAAGGGGTCACGTGGATCTGAGAGTACGAGGAGGCAAGCCGAGAGAGAGGATGTACAGATGAGGGAGGAGTCACCCACTATGAAAGGGGATGGAAGTTCCTCCATCGGTATGAGGATCAGAGTGTCATCAAGAGCATTTGATGCCCTACAGATGGCAACCGGCGGTGCTCATGAGAAAAGGGAATTTCGCGGAAGTTTTGAACGCGATCTGAGTTCAATGTTCGAAAGTTTTCACACAGAGTAGCAATTAACGATCGGTTTCCACACGCTTCAGGGAGACTTCAACGCAAAAGACTTCATCGTTCGGATTTTCAATGCATCAACGTTTGGACATCATGGTGGGAGGTAAGACAGCGACCACTCGTGTCTAAAAGCGGTAAATTGGGTTACTTGCTTATTATTCAGACAACAAAGACAGAACTGGCGACGTTGTGTTCCTCCTTTAGAGATTAACCTGAGAGTTACCAGGAGGGCATGTTTGATAGGTAGACACACTGTCAGTTCATCTCTGGTCAACAATTCTGCAAAACCGTATGCACTTAAGATGTTAAAGGGAGGTTTCTTCTCAAATTACACTCAACTCCTGCGAGGGTCGTGCATTGACGGTAAAACTCCAAGTTGAGAGTCTATCTGTGGCGATTGATCAAATTCCATTTATGCCTCGGAGTTGGTAACAGATTCTGAATTACCCCCAGTAGTAAGGGGAGGCTGCGAGTTAGTCATCGTCAACCGAAAATTTTGCAGACGCCCCCCTCCTGCAGTCCTTCATATATCTAGACTGTATCCGATATTTGTGCGTATCTCAGATCTGTGGGTTTGAACGGTCTTTTTATATATATATATATTTTTACTTTTATATCGACTGATCGTATGAACCTTCATACATAGCAAAGCACAAGACAGGCATAGCAAAACCCCATCATCCTGTTCGTTGCTGAAGACCTCTGAAGCGGGCACGGCGGGTGACATACGCCGCAGCCCTTGGCTTCAGCGAACGAGCAAGCGCCCCTCCCCGGGTTTCCCTCACAGAGTGCTGAAAGGTGCCAGGAGCATTGCAAAGACCAAAAGGCATCACCACAAACTCGTATAGACCGTACCTGGTCTGAAATGCGGTTTTGTGTTGATCCTCGGGCCGGATTGCAATYTGATGGTACCCGGACTTCAGGTCTATTTTACTGAAGCACCGACACCCTTGCACTCTATCTAATAGATCATCGATGCGCGGTAGGGGCTCTCTGTTCTTCACCGT